GGCAGCTGGGACCATAGTCACCAAGAAAACAATTGGTAACACACTACGCCGTGAAGGACTGAAATCCTGCAGCGCCCGCAAGGTCCCCCTGCTCAAGAAAGCACATATACAGGCCCGTCTGAAGTTTGCCAATGAACATCTGAATGATTCAGTGGAGAAGTGGGTGAAAGTGTTGTGGTCAGATGAGATCAAAATGGAGCTCTTTGGCATCAACTCAACTCGCCGTGTTTGGAGGAGGAGGAATGCTGCCTATGACCCCGAGAACACCATCCCCACTGTCAAACATGGAGGTGGAGGAATGCTTTGGGGGTGTTTTTCTGCTAAGGGGACAGGACAACTTCACTGCATCAAAGGGACGATGGACGGGGCCATGTACCGTCAAATCTTGGGTGAGAACCTCCTTCCCTCAGCCAGGGCATTGAAAATGGGTCGTGGATGGGTATTCCAGCATGACAATGACCCAAAACACACGGCCAAGGCAACAAAGGAGTGGCTCAAGAAGAAGCACATTAAGGTCCTGGAGTGGCCTAGCCAGTCTCCAGACCTTAATCCCATAGAAAATCTGTGGAGGGAGCTGAAGGTTCGAGTTGCCAAATGTCAGCCTCGAAACCTTAATGATTTGGAGAAGATCTGCAAAGAGGAGTGGGACAAAATCCCTCCTGAGATGTGGGCAAACCTGGTGGCCAACTACAAGAAACGTCTGACCTCTGTGATTGCCAACAAGGGTTTTGTCACCAAGTACTAAGTCATGTTTTGCAGAGGGGTCAAATACTTATTTCCCTCATTAAAATGCAAATCAATCTATAACATTTTTGACATGCGTTTTTCTGGATTTTTTTGTTGTTATTCTGTCTCTCACTGTTCAAATAAACCTACCATTAAAATTATAGACTGATAATGTCTTTGTCAGTGGGCAAATGTTCAAAATCAGCAGGGGATCAAATACTTTTTTCCCTCACTGTAGTTGCATCCCAAATGGCACCCTATACATGGGCCCTGGTCAAAATTAGTGCACTATATAGGGAATATGGTGCCATTTTGGGACGCACGCTATGTTTCCAACTCATTCAACAGCATGGGGTTGTCGTTTGAACTCTGACAAGGAATGGGGGTCAAAGTCACAATCACCCCAGCCTGGCTGCCCCTTTCCTCACCAACTCACTGCACACAATATATCTTTCTCTGAAAAACATCTTTCCCTCACAGCATAACATAGCCTCTCGTATACAGTATAACCCATCTAGACCAAGTCCCATTGCACTCGTATACAATTTCCTTTATTTGCAAATAAACCCTTTTGGTTTTCAAGCCTGGAATTTGAGCTGAATATCACTCTGTTTTACGTTTCTGTATTTTCACTGATAAACAACAGAGAAACATAATGATGATCGGTGTGTATTCCAGGCGTCTGCTTTCATAGAACAAGAGAGGGAAACCTGCCTTCAAGCAAGCTGCCCTGAACCTATCCTGGTCTCCACCCTTACCCTGGTACCTAGACAGATGTACCATACTACTCTGGTATCTAGACAGACCAATACAGACGTACCATACAGTGCCTTAGGAAAGTATTCAGACCTCTTGACTTTTTCCACATTTTGTTACGTTACAGCCTTAGCAATCTATATTTTACATTTTAGTCATTTTTAGCAGACGCTCTTATCCAGAGCAACTTACAGTTAGTGAGTGCATACATTTTTTCATACATTTTCTTCTTACTGCCCCCCCCCCCCCCCGTGGGAATCGAACCCACAACCCTGGCGTTGCAAGCACCATGCTCTACCAACTGAGCTACACAGGGCCCTATCTACACACAATACCCCATAATGACAAAGTGAAAACAGGTTTAAAAAAACTGAAATACCTTATTTACATAAGTACTCAGACCCTTTGCTATGAGACTCGAAATTGAGCTCAGGTGCATCCTATTTCCATTGATCATCCTTGAGATGTTTCTACAACTTGATTGGAGTCCACGTGTGCTAAATTCAATTAATTGGACATGATTTGGAAAGGCACACACCTGTCTATATAAGGTCTCACAGTTTACAGCGCATGTCAGAGCAAAAACCAAGCTATGAGGTCGAAGGAATTTTCCGTAGAGTTCCGAGACAGGATTGTGTCGAGGCACAGATCTGGGGAAGGGTACCAAAACATTTCTGCAGCATTGAAGATCCCCAAGAACACAGTGGCCTCTATCATTCTTAAATGGAAGAAGTTTGGAACCACCAAGACTCTTCCTAGAGCTGGCCACCCGGCCATACGGAGCAATCGGGGGAGAAGGGCATTGGTCAGGGAGGTGACCAAGAACCCGATGCTAGAATTCCTCTGTGGAGATGGGAGAACCTTCCAGAAGGACAACCATCTCTGCAGCACTCCACCAATCAGGCCTTAATGGTAGAGTGGCCAGACAGAAGCCACTCCTCAGTAAAAGGCACATGACAGCCCGTTTGGAGTTTGCCAAAAGGCACCTAAAGGGCTCTCAGACCATGAGAAACAAGATTCTCAGGTCTGATGAAACCAAGATCGAACTCTTTGGTCTGAATGCCAAGCATCACGTCTGGAGGAAACCTGGCACCATCCCTACGGTGAAGCATGGTGGTGGCAGCATCATGCTGTGGGGATGTTTTTCAGTGGCAGGGACTGGGAGACTAGTCAGGATCGAGGCAAAGATGAACGGAGCAAAGTACATAGAGATCCTTGATGAAAATCTGCTCCAGAGCACTCAGGACCTCAGACTGGGGTGAAGGTTCACCTTCCTACAGGACAACGAGCCTAAGCACACAGCCAAGACAATGCAGGAGTGGCTTTGGGAGAAGTCTCTGAATGTCCTTGAGTGGCCCAGCCAGAGCCCGGACTTGAACCCGATCGAATATCTCTGGAGAGACCTGAAAATAGCTGTGCAGCAACGCTCCCCATCCAACCTGACAGAGCTTGAGAGGATCTGCAGAGAAGAATGGGAGAAACTCCCCAAATACAGGTGTGCGAAGCTTGTAGCGTCATACCCAAGAAGACTCAAGGCTCTAATCGCTGCCAAAGGTGCTTCAACAAAGTACTGAGTAAAGGGTCTGAATACTTATGTAAATGTGATATTTCCGTTTTTTATTTTTAATACATTTGCAAAAATTTCTAAAAACCTTTTTTTGCTTTGTTATTATGGGGTATTGTGTGTAGATTGATGAGGGGAAAAAACAAGGGATCTGAATACTTTTCGAATGCACTGTACTACTCTGGACCTAGACAGGCCAATACAGACAGACCATAATACTCTGGCTAACCAGAGCTGCCTGTACTACTATGAGAGAAACAGAGCTTGTGTCACAAATTCCACCCTATTCCTGATACAGTGCACTACTTCTGAACAGGGCCCATATGGCTTTGGTCAAAAGTAGTGCACCATGTAGGGAATAGGGTGCCGTTTGGGACGCATCCAAAGTTATCCCTGCAAGGTAGCCAACAAACCACATAAGACATAAACATGCTTCGTCAGTTACCCCACTCCAACTGACATATTTGGTTTCAAAACTTCCAACTGACATATTTGGTTTTAAAATGTTTCCAGTGAATAATAGCAATTTACTGGATGGAAAATCTGGCTTGAAATACATGACATACAATGATATAATTATATGCTGAACTGCTCAGTATGAACAACTCAATGTTTTTTTGGAATAGTTGGTAACAGAAAAAGTACTGACTTGGCATTTTGTCTATGATAGCGTTTGGTCACCCATGAGTGCTACTATATTAAACAGCTATGGGACAGTACAGTACAGTACAGTGACTGTTCATTACAAATCTATGGTCCAAAATCTCTGCACAAATCCTGTACCAATTATCCCATAGCTCTGTCAGCCCACTCACGGTTCACTTAAAGTACACTGAGCAGAAATAACATTCCTGTCAGAGCATCTGTTTAGTAGAGCACTACTGACCTCTAGGTTCAGACCAGAGTGATTTATGTTTTGTTACGAGAGACACAGATGTTGAAGGTTGTATTAGTAGCCTGAAGGAGGGAGGGAGAAGAGTAGGAGGGAGAGAAGAAGAGTAGGAGGAGAGAAGAAGAAGAGTAGGAGAGAGAGAAGAAGAGTAGGGTGGAGGAAGACGAGTAGGTGGAGAGAAGACGAGTAGGGTGGAGAGAAGAAGAGTAGGGTGGAGAGAAGAAGAGTAGGGTGGAGAGAAGAAGAGTAGGAGGGAGAGAAGAAGAGTAGGAGGGAGAGGAGAAGAGTAGGAGGGAGAGAAGAAGAGTAGGAGGGAGAGAAGAAGAGTAGGAGGGAGAGAAGAAGAGTAGGAGGGAGAGAAGAAGAGGAGTAGGAGGGAGAGAAGAAGAGTAGGAGGGAGAGAAGAAGTGTAGGAGGGAGAAGTCCATAGAGAGTTCTCCTTAGGGCTAGATTCTAGCAGATATCTGCATAGCGGTTGTTTTGGCGGTGCGGAGGTGGAATGCGTTAGAGCTGTCAAATCCACAAGCAGCTCCCAGATTTATACCTAAAGTGGACATTGCAATTGGCTGCACGGAGTCGCATTAAGAGTGAATTCAAACACTGGAGTGTGAGATGTAATCTACACCTCGATTAGGCTAATATAAATCTTCATTATTTAGTTGAATGATTTTCAGTTTCAGCGTATTTATTTCTATATAGCCTATACTTTCTTGTTCTGAACTTCATGACAATGATCACATGAGCTTCTGCTCACCGATTTGACAAGCTCCTACGCAGGGACACCTCCGACACCGAGAAAACATCAGCTATGTGGGTGTCAGCTATCGCCGCTTTACACTTGATCTGATTGAATCTAAGCCTTAGTTGCCTGATGCCAGAGCTGTTTGTGCTGTCTTGCACACACAGATCTGGGACCAGGCTACAAGAGAGTCACAGCAATGACCATAGGAGTTGGCGAGTTCGCACAAACAGATCTGGGACCAGGCTACAAAAGAGTCACAGCAATGACCATAGGAGTTGGCGAGACCGCACAAACAGATCTGGGACCAGGCGGTCTCCTTAGCGATGGATGGTAGTAAGTCTCTTTAGCGATGTCAAGTTTTGAGAGTCTTTGAGCTGTTTGGTGAAGGAGGCGTGGAGGGTCTGAGACAAGCTATCCAGCCTCATGGCGATGTCTGCTGTTGCCTGGAGGAGGCCCTCGAACGCCAGGGATTCCTCTTTGATTCTGTCATGAAAGGAGACAAGACAAACAGGGTTAGCAGGGAGAGAGGGGAGGATGGAGTGAGGGAGGGAGGGAAGTAAAAGAGGGAGGAGGTATGAACGGAGGAGAGGTTAGCCAGGGACTCCTCTTTGATTCTGTCATGCAGGGAGACAAGACAAACACAGTGTCAGCAAGAGGGAGAGAAGAAGAGTAGGATGGAGAGAAGAAGAGTAGGAGGGAGAGAAGAAGAGTAGGAGGGAAGGTAGGAGGGAGAGAAGAAGAGTGGAGGAGAGAATAGGAGGGAGGAAGAAGAGAGTGGAGGAGAGAGAGTAGAGAGAAAAGAGTGGAGGAGAGTAGGAGGAGAGAAGAGAGTAGAGGGAGAGAGGAGAGAAGAAGTAGGGAGGGAGAGAAGAAGAGTAGGGGGGAGAAAGAAGAAGAGTAGGAGGGAGAGAGACAGAGAAGAAGAGTAGGAGGGAGAGAGAAGAGAGGGTGGAGGGAGAGTAAGAGAGTAGGGAGAGGGAGAGGAGAGGAAGAGTAGGAGGGAGGAGAAGAGATAGGAGGGAGGAGAGGAAAGGATGTAGGGGGAGAGAGGTAGGAGAAGAGTGGAGGAGGAGAGAAGAGAGTAGGGAGAGAGAAGGAGAAGAGTAGGAGGGAGGGAGAAGAAGAGTAGGAGAGTAGGAGGGAGAGGAGAAGAGTAGGAGGGAGAGAAGAAGAGTAGGAGGGAGAGAAGAAGAGTAGGGGAGAGAGAAGAAGAGTAGGAGGGAGAGAAGAGGTAGGAGGGAGGGAAGAAGAGTAGGAAGGAGAGAAGAAGAGTAGGAGGTGGAGGAGAGAAGAAGAATAGGAGGGAGAGGAGAAGAGTAGGAGGGAGAGAAGAAGGGTAGGAGGGAGGAAACATAGAGAAAGTTTGGAAAACACATGGTAAAAAGGGAAAAGGTGCTGTACATAGTTGCAGATGAATGTCACACTGTTTGACGTAAGACAATGGGTTCTGATGAGGACACTAGGTTTATTACAGTAATTAAACCCCAGAGAGGCCTTGATTAGGGTTATTACGGTAAATACGTCCATCAGACCCAGGCCACATCTTGGTTCTGATGAGGACACAGTAGGGTTGTGGATGTCTGGGAAGAACAGAGAGTCTGAGTCAATAAGGTGACCGTTAATGGACTGGGAAAAACAGTGGTTGCTAAGGTGACTGTTAATAGAGCTCTGTATAAACTAATCAATGAGCCGGGAGGAGTTCCTGTCTCTCAGTAGATTAGATTACACTCATACAGTATGTGGATGTGTCTCTGTTCCTCTCTGACTGCCTGTCCAGTCTATGGCAAGGTCTCCTCAGTGGCAGCCCAGAGGAGGATGGCTGTGTCAAGGTTTTATCCAGACCTCAAGGGAGTTTTTCCTTGCCCTTGTTGCCCCACGCTTGCTCTTTTGGGTGTTTAAGTCTCAGACAAACTTCAAATTAATGGATTTATTATATTAATAGACTGTGACAGATTGAGATGAATAACTAACTGGTTTCATCCATGTACTTACTTCAGTATCCCAGCCAGAGCCTCCAGTACATCTCCTTCCAGCTGTCCATCCAGATCCTCCACCACCTTCTGGACCACACCGTTACAACTCTGCTGCTCCTCCCTGATGACATAATAACATCATTTTTACATTTTAGTCATTTTAGCAGACGCTCTTATCCAGAGCGACTTACAGTTAGTGAGTGCATACATTTTTTCATACTGGCCCCCCGTGGGAATCGAACCCACAACCCTGGCGCCAAGCTCTACCAACTGAGCTACACGGGGACATAAAGACATAATATACAACATAATGACATAATACACCATCACAGCTCTGCTGCTCCTCCCTGATGACATAATACACAACATAATGACATAATACACAACATAATGACATAATACACAACATAATGAGATAATACACAACATAATGACATAATACACAACATAATGACATAATACACCATCACAGCTCTGCTGCTCCTCCCTGATGACATAATACACAACATAATGACATAATACACAACATAATGACATAATACACAGCATAATGAGATAATACACAACATAATGACATAATACACAACATAATGACATAATACACCATCACAGCTCTGCTGCTCCTCCCTGATGACATAATACACAACATAATGACATAATACACAACATAATGACATAATACACAACATAATGAGATAATACACAACATAATGACATAATACACAACATAATGACATAATACACCATCACAGCTCTGCTGCTCCTCCCTGATGACATAATACACAACATAATGACATAATACACAACATAATGACATAATACACAACATAATGAGATAATACACAACATAATGACATTATACACAACATAATGGTATAATACACCATCACAGCTCTGCTGCTCCTCCCTGATGACATAATACACAACATAATGACATAATACACAACATAATGACATAATACACAACATAATGACATAATACACAACATAATGGTATAATACACAACATAATGACATAATACACAACATAATGATATAATACACCATCACAGGTCTGCTGCTCCTCCCTGATGGCATAGCACACAATATTCACTCACCTCAATTCAATTATGATTCTGTCCTCGTTTGTTAAATCTATAAAAATCTAAATGAACCACACTCCAAAGGACTCATTTAGCAGATTATGGCTATTTTGTAGGTTTTACTTGCAATGATATGTGGTTGTTTTAACCTAACTTATTTGAATACACTGACAGTAAGTTGTACTGGATAATAGCGTCCGCTGACGTAAAGGATAGTCACCAACCTAATGCCCACTATGTTTTCCTCGATGACGTCCTCGTAGCGCTGCTCCTCCCCCAGCTCTGCTCCGACGTACTGGACTAGGTTCTCCACCACCGCCTGGTTCCCATGCTGTATAGCCTTTAGATAGGCCAGCTCCTCTCTCTGGGCCTTGAGGCGTCTGGCGGAGGCCTGACTGGTGCTGAAGCGATTGATTGATTGATTTGATTGATTGATGATTGATTGACTGATTGGCATGTATTGTCCTACAAGAGGAAATTATTTTTTCACAGCTCACACATTACATAGCGTACACAAACCACATAGAAACACACAACACGAAACAAACAGTAAACAACAGACATTGAGATTTAAATAGTATCACACCTGAAGTGGACGGAGCACTGGTCTGGCTCCGGCTCATAGTGGAGCACTGGCTTAGGTGGTGGTGGAGGTGATGTTGGTGGTGGTGTTTTTACCCACGATTCTCCTGTCTCTGTTTCTGACCCCGCAGGGTAATCTCCGGGCTCCTGGGAGGAGGACGTGTTGTTGTTGGTGCCGAGGGTCGTCATGGAGATATCGAAGCCCGAGCCCCAGTCGGCACTGTCACCACTCTGGCCAAGGCATGGTGTTGTTATCGTGGATACCCATAGCAAGGTCGCCAGTAGCCAGCACCACCAATGCCCCATGGTGACCCTGGAGTTAGAGAGGAGGATGAGAGTGGAGTGAGTGGCCAGTAGCCAGCACCACCAATGCCCCATGGCAACCCTGAAGTAAATCTGTAATACCTACATGTTTCAAGTAGACCACCATAGTCCCTGTGCCCAAGAACGCCAAGGTAACCTGTCTAAATGACTACCGCCCCGTAGCACTCACGTCTGTAGCCATGAAACGCTTTGAAAGGCTGGTCATGGTCTCACATCAACACCATCATAGACATCCTGGACCCACTCCAATTTGCATACCGCCCTAACAGATCCACAGATGACACAATCTCTATTGTACTCCACATTGCCCTTTCCCACCTGGACAAAAGGAGAACCTATGTGAGAATGCTGTTCCTTGACTACAGCTCGGCGTTCAACACCATAGTGCCCTCCAAGCTCATCACCAAGCTAGGGACCCTGGGACTGAACCCCTCCCTCTGCAACTGGATCCTGGACTTCCTGACGGGCCGCCCCCAGGTGGTGAGGGTAGGCAACAACACATCCGCCACGCTGACCCTCAACACGGGGGCCCCTCAGGGGTGCGTGCTTAGTCCCCTCCTGTACTCCCTTTTCAGCCACAACTGCATAGCCGCGCATAAACCCAACACCATCATTAAGTTTGTCGACAACACAACAGTTGAAAGGCCTGATCACCAACGACGATGAGACAGCCTACAGGGAGGAGGTCAGAGACCTGGCAGTGTGGTGCCAGGACAACAACCTCTCCCTCAACGTCAGCAAGACCAAGGAGCTGATCGTGGACTACAGGAAATGGGGCTGTAGTTGAACGGGTCGAGAGCTTCAAGTTCCTCGGTGTCCACCTCACTGAGGACCTATCATGGTCCAAACACACAAACACAGTTGTGACGACAACACCTCTTTCCCCTCAGGAGGCTGAATAGATTTGGAATAGGCCCTCAGATCCTTAAAAAGTTCTACAGCTGCACTGGCTGCATCACCGCCTGGTATGGCAACTGCTTGGCATTTGTCCTCAAGGCACTACAGAGGGAGGTGCGTACGGCCCAGTACATCACTGGGGCCGAGCTCCCTGCCATCCAGGACCTCTATACCAGACGTTGTCAGAGGAAGGCCCTAAAAATTGTCAAAGACTCCAGCCACCCAAGTCATAGACAGTTCTCTCTGCTACCGAACGGCAAGCGGTACAGGAACGCCAAGTCTAGGACCAAAAGGCTCCTGAACAGCTTCTACCCCCAAGCCATAAGACAGCTGAACAGTTAATCAAATGGCTACCCAGACTATTTGCATTGGCCCCCCCACCTCTATGACTCTACCCACACAAACTCACACATACTAAACTGACAATCCAACACACACACACACACACACACACACACACACTACATACTCTCTCACACACTCTGCTACTACTGTTTTATTTATTTCGTAGATCAGCTTTAATATTGCAGATAGATTGTAACTTCCATCAATGTAATTGTCTGCATCACTTCCAATCCCCCATATGTTTTTTTTCCCGCAAATATATATATATATATATATATATATATATATATATATATATAATATATATATATATATATATATATATATATATATATATACAGTGGGGAGAACAAGTATTTGATACACTGCCGATTTTGCAGGTTTTCCTACTTACAAAGCATGTAGAGGTCTGTAATTTTGATCATAGGTACACTTCAACTGTGAGAGACGGAATCTAAAACAAAAATCCAGAAAATCACATTGTATGATTTTTAGGTAATGAATTAGCATTTTATTGCATGACATAAGTATTTGATCACCTACCAACCAGTAAGAATTCCGGCTCTCACAGACCTGTTAGTTTTTCTTTAAGAAGCCCTCCTTTTCTCCACTCATTACCTGTATTAACTGCACCTGTTTGAACTCGTTACCTGTATAAAAGACACCTGTCCACACACTCAATCAAACAGACTCCAACCTCTCCGCAATGGCAAAGACCAGAGAGCTGTGTAAGGACATCAGGGATAAAATTTAGACCTGCACAAGGCTGGGATGGGCTACAGGACAGTAGGCAAGCAGCTTGGTGAGAAGGCAACAACTGTTGGCGCAATTATTAGAAAATGGAAGAAGTTCAAGATGGTGGTCAATCACCCTTGGTCTGGGGCTCCATGCAAGATCTCACCTCGTGGGGCATCAATGATCATGAGGAAGGTGAGGGATCAGCCCAGAACTACACTGCAGGACCTGGTCAATGGCCTGAAGAGAGCTGGGACCACAGTCTCAAAGAAAACCATTAGTAACACACTACGCCGTCATGGATTAAAATCCTGCAGCGCACTCAAGGTCCCCCTGCTCAAGCCAGCGCATGTCCAGGCCCGTCTGAAGTTTGCCAATGACCATCTGGATGATCCAGAGGAGGAATGGGAGAAGGTCATGTGGTCTGATGAGACAAAAATAGAGCTTTTTGGTCTAAACTCCACTCGCCGTGTTTGGAGGAAGAAGAAGGATGAGTACAACCCCAAGAACACCATCCCAACCGTGAAGCATGGAGGTGGAAACATCATTATTTGGGGATGCTTTTCTGCAAAGGGGACAGGACGACTGCACCGTATTGAGGGGAGGATGGATGGGGCCATGTATCGCAAGTTCTTGGCCAACAACCTCCTTCCCTCAGTAAGAGCATTGAAGATGGGTCGTAGCTGGGTCTTCCAGCATGACAACGACCCGAAACACACAGCCAGGGCAACTAAGGAGTGGCTCCGTAAGAAGTATCTCAAGGTCCTGGAGTGGCCTAGCCAGTCTCCAGACCTGAACCCAATAGAAAATCTTTGGAGGGAGCTGAAAGTCCGTATTGCCCAGCGACAGCCCCGAAACCTGAAGGATCTGGAGAAGGTCTGTATGGAGGAGTGGGCCAAAATCCCTGCTGCAGTGTGTGCAAACCTGGTCAAGACCTACAGGAAACGTATGATCTCTGTAATTACAAACAAAGGTTTCTGTATCAAATATTAAGTTCTGCTTTTCTGATGTATCAAATACTTATGTCATGCAATAAAATGCAAATTCATTGCTTAAAAATCATACAATGTGATTTTCTGTATTTTTATTTTAGATTCCATCTCTCACAGTTGAAGTGTACCTATGATCAAAATTACAGACCTCTACATGGTTTGTAAGTAGGAAAACCTGCAAAAATCGGCAGTGTATCAAATACTTGTTCTCCCCACTGTATATATATATATATATATATATATATATATATATAATATTATATATATATATATATATATATATATATATATATATATATATATATATATATATATATATATACACTACCGTTCAAAAGTTTGGGGTCACTTGTTTTCGAAAGAAAAGCAATTTTTTTTGTCCATTAAAATAACATCAAATTGATCAGAAATACAGTGTAGACATTGTTAATGTTGTAAATGGCTATTGTAGCCGGAAACGGCTAATTTTTAATGGAATATCTACATAGGCGTACAGAGGCCCATTATCAGCAACCATCAGTCCTGTGTTCCAATGGCACGTTGTGTTTGCTAATCCAAGCAAGAGGACCAAATACATTAGAGTGTCTAGTTTGAGAAACAGACGCCTCACAGGTCCTCAACTGGCAGCTTCATTAAATAGTACCCGCAAAACACCAGTCTCAACGTCAACAGTGAAGAGGCGACTCCGGGATGCTCACCTTCTAGGCAGAGTTGCAAAGAAAAAGCCATATCTCAGACTGTCCAATAAAAAGAAAAGATTAAGATGGGCAGTCTGAGATATGGCTTTTTCTTTGCAACTTTTTCATTGGAAACGTCTAAGTGACCCCAAACTTTTGAATGGTAGTGCATATAGTGCCTTCATTTTGTTGAATTTTAATCACTTTGAAATGGATTAAATATTAAAATTTTGTTGTCACTGGCCTACACCAAATACACCAAAATGTCAAAGTGGAATTATGTTTTTCGAAATTTTTACAAATTAATAAGAAAATGAAAAGCTGAAATTTCTTGAGACAATACGTATTCAACACCTTTGTTATGGCAAGCCTAAATAAGTTCAGGATAAAACATTTATTTTAACAAGTCATATAATACATTGAATGGACTCACTCTGTATGCAAATATAGTGTTTAAAATGATTTTTGAATTACCACCTCAAATCAAATCAAATGTTATTTGTCACATGCGCCGAATACAACAGGTGTAGACCTTACAGTGAAATGCTTACTTACAAGCCCTTAACCAACAATGCAGTTTTAAGAAAGAATACCCCCCCCCCCCCCCCCCCCCCCCCCAAAAAAATATACAATATAAAATAATACGAAATAAAAGTAACAAATAATTAAAGAGCAGCAGTAAAAATAACAATAGCGAGGCTATATACAGGGGGTACCGGTACCAAGTCAATGTGCGGGGGCACCGGTTAGTCGAGGTAATTGAGGTAATATGTACATGTAGGTAGAGTTAGAAACCTCTTGGACCTAGACTTGGCGTTCCGGTACCGCTTGCCGTGCGGTAGCAGTGAGAAGAGTTTATGACTAGGGTGGCTGAAGTCTTTGACAATTTTTAGGGCCTTCCTCTGACACCGCTTGGTATAGAGGTCCTGAATGGTAGGAAGCTTGGCCCCAGTGATGTTCTGGGTCGTACACACTACCTTCTGTAGTGCCTTGCGGTCAGAGGCCGAGCAGTTGCCATACCAGGCAGTGATGCAACCAGTCAGGATGCTCTCGATGGTGCAGCTGTAGAACCTTTTGAGGATCTGAGGACCCATGCCAAAACTTTTCAGTCTCCTTAGGGGGAATAGGTTTTGTCGTGCCCTCTTCACGACTGTCTTGGTGTGCTTGGACCATGTTAGTTTGTTGGTGATGTGGACACCAAGGAACTTGAAGCTCTCAACCTGCTCCACTACAGCCCCGTCAATGAGAATGTGGTCGTGCTCGGTCCTCTTCTTTTTCCTGTAGTCCACAATCATCTCTTTGTTTGATCCCTGAGTTGAGCAGTGAATTTCAAACACAGAATC